GCCTTACCTGGAAGTTAAGCATTAGTATTACTATCAGAAACAATTTAAGGATCCCAGATATTTATTCAGATCTGCTAGCATGTTTGAAAACTCAATTGCAAAGCATTTCTTACAAGACTCAATTTAACCTACAGGCAACACTACCTTTATTACTATGGTTTTACTGTTTCTGGCAGCATCCACAAAGTATCAGGTGCTGTAGATTCAGATAATTTTAACCAACACCAAGAACTCCTTCCTCTTGAGTGACCCTTTACAGCCTCAAATATGGAGTGAAAGCATGTCAGGGAGAGGTGCTTTTCCAGTTGTGGTCCTTAACTGTCTATATAAAAGGCTCTCCCTTCTAGTCCAAATGAGTATATTCCAAAGGAAAGGGCTACCTTATCCACAGATTGTTGTCTATTCTCTTCACAAATCCATCTCAACCCATGTATGACCAAAACCACTTTATCTGAGCTTCAGAACTCTGTCTGTCCTAAGCAATCATGGTGTAACGTGCAGCGATGACATTCAGCAGGACTAGGAAACAAACGCTGCTTTGCTTTTGGTGAGCTACAGCAAAGCATCAGGGTCCTAAAAAGAAACCTGAATTTGAAGTGTGCAAGTTAGTCATGTCCCATTATAACTGCACACTCGTGAGCTACTATAAGCTGGAGTTGAGACCACTGTCATCCAGCTTGGTCATGTTCTAAAATTTATCTCAAGGTTGAAAAAAAAAAAAAAAAAAAAAAAAAGGTGATGTTCTTCCTAGGCAAAATGAGTGATACGACATGTTGGCAAGCTGTATTTTTAACACATTTCTTTGAAATTTGCTATCACAGCAAGGAAATATCTGGAGCTGCGAACTCTTCTATACTTGGTCCTGAGATTAACGAGTCACTTGAGCGGAGTGAACTAGAGTTTCATGAGATTCCCTGAGGAAGTTCAAACACTTCCAAACACTCCTGCGATCCTCTGCAACTCTAGATGAAGTCTGTGTTGGGAAATGACGGGTCTGTCACTGCATGGAAAAGTCATACACTGGAAAATGGAGATTTCTTTTGTCACGCAGCTTTCATGAAGCCATTCAAGAAGGGCTCACCAGCGAAAAAGCTTACTGCAAGAAAGGATGTTGTTCCTGGTACAGTTGTCATCTGCTTTGCTTTTGGATGTGCAGAAACCTGGGTCTGTGGGAGAAAAATGAGCAGAGCTTTAAGTCTTACTGGGATGAACATGGTTCTACCTCCATCATATAAAGGTAGCAACTTTCCAATGGCAGTAATCTCAAAGAGCTAGTCACCCCATCAGAAATGCTTACTGTGACAGAAACTCTGACTCAGAAATGCTTGCCAGATTATCTCATGATATAAGAAAGTTCAGACAGTTGAAAAGAGTCCCTGATTTTTTAAAGGTTGGCTTCAGCTGCTGACTTTCTCTTGCTGAGTTTCATTCAGTATATCAGGATGCAGGGATCTAATCTCTGCGAGACACAGTCATATACTTGAAGCAAAAATCTGAACGTAAAATAGACTTACTTGCCACAGAAATCCTTGTGAACAGCACGAAGGGCGAGGAGCAAGTTGGGATGTGCACATAGCCAATCCTCCACCAAATCAGGGTGCCTGGGATCAACTTCCAGAAACACACTCCTGAAAAGATGTGGGGAGATACACATAATGATGTGGGGAGATGCACATAACTAGATTGCTAGGCTGAGAAAAACTAAAATCTTCCTTTACGGAACACTGCAAACCAATGATCTTAAAACAGACTGCAGCTATCTGTTTAAGACACAGATGCCAACTGCTTCCTTCAGAGGGAGAAAGTGTTGATCTAAAGGGGAACTTTCATGGTACTCCTCTTTGAGAGCAGTTATATCCTGGTACTGAGATGTGAGGACCTGTTCTGAACCCCGTGTAGGAATATCACCAGCTTTGTGTTTCTGATGCCCAGAATGGAGCAGGCTGTTCTATGATGCAAATGCACGAACACTGAATGCTGGACTGGTAACGTGGAGTTCCTTTGTATAAGCACAGTGACATTAAGTCCCAGTAGTGAGAGTCAAAGTACAAGTCAGTACACACATTTTACAGCAATAATCATCTCCACAGATGAGTTATGAAACCACCACCAGGTTTCAGGTCATACAGTCTTACACATGACTATACAAAGGAGAGTGCAACAGGGAAAAGGGACCTAGTCAGACAGCTTCAGACAAAGCACCAGGACACAGCTTGTTGCAAAGGACCTTTTCCATTTTGGCTGCAGTCAGGCTTTGTGACATGGGCCCATTTCTGAAACTCTCCTCCCACAATGAGGTGGAACCACCCTAGCTTACAGGCATGTGGAAATGGACTGCAGCCTTTGACAGTTTATCAAGATACAAGTTAAACAGGCAAAGCACAGAGGCCAAGCTCCAACCCTACACTCTCTTGAGAATTCCTGAGCAGTCCCACACTGAACACTCCCACCAAACTAATTACAAGCTGGGTGTGGTTCTTGTTATTGACCTTAAAAGACTTCCACCCCGCAATGGGGGCTCCACCTTATAAAACAAACACAAAAGGGACTAGGAAAAATGTCTTAACAGCCATCCCCATGGGCTGATGTCTCCTGCTGGGAAGACCTGGGGAACAACTTCTGCTCTTGTGGCCGAGCAAAAAATAAGGAGCTTATTCTTTCCATTGTGCTTCTCAGTACTCCTATTCCTCTTCCTAAAACAGCAGATTTTCAACGATCTCTCTAATGCTATTAAGGCGAGGAATTTTCAACAGGATACGAGAATGCCAGGGCACAAAAGACATTTGGGTATCAGCACGTTGATTTTCAAGCATGAAATGGATCCCCCATGACAGCAAATAGAAACCAATCAGTCTCAAGCATCCCTCATGCAGAAATCTAACGTTTAAGAAATGAACCCTGGCTGATTACCATTATTCTCCCAGGATATCCAGCCCTGACTCCTGGCACAACACACAAGCTTCCCGTAATTAAAGAATGAAACAGATCTACATCCATTCTCACAGAGCAGTGGGTTGTTTTTCCCTCAACAGCTTTTCTGCTTGGAAAGCTTTTTTTCGCGCTTCCTCTCCCTCCATTTTCTCTCTCACCTTCCTTCTGTTGCTACTTTGAGCTTTAAAGATCCTCATTTTGTTAATGACTGTGAAACACCAGCACTGGTCAAAGAAGGTCTATATCCCCATATGAACAAATTTCAGACTGATTTTGCTAATACACGTTTTTTTGTTTTTGTTTTTTTTAAGTAAACAAACAAAAATACACTACAATTACTAGATGGGCGTTTTTGCAGTTATTTTCCTTTTACATCCTGCATAAAACAACAACAGTAGTTACAGATACAGAGAGAAGATGTGAAATTCAAAAGGACGACCATGCTCACCCAGAATCCTTCAGAAGAGAAGGAGCCAGAGTCAGAATTATTTTAATGACTCTCATCCCGTCATCTCCCCCATCCAGTGCATCAAGGTCCTCATAGCTAGAGGTTGGAAATAAGGCATTAATGGCAATTCATACGGCATGAGCCATGCCCTTGAGCATGCACTGCCCTGCTCCACAGGCAAAGGTGCAACTAATAAACTCCAGCCCAGTTACAGCAGGTGAGAGCACTCATTGCTTTTATGAGAAATACAGGGAGTAAGAAGGCTGAGAAACCCCAAACTGAGCACAAGCAGAAAACATTCCTTGGGCTCCATCAAAAGAGGGGTGGCCAGCAGGGACAGGGAGGCGATTGCTCCCCTCTGCTCTGCTCTTGTGGGGCCCCATCTGGAATACTGCGTCCAAGTGTGGAGCCCCCAGTACAAAAAAGACAGGGAGCTGTTGGAGAGGGTCCAGAGGAGAGCCACAAAGATGATCAGGGGACTGGAGCACCTCCCATATGAGAACAGGCTGAGGGAGCTGGGTTTGTTCAGCCTGGAGAAGAGAAGGCTGTGGGGCGACTTCATTGCAGCCTTTCAGCATCTAAAGGGAGCCTACAGACAGGAGGGGAATCAACTCTTGGAAAGAGTAGATAACTGCAGGACAAGGGAAAATGGTTTGAAGTTGAGGGAGGGAAGATTTGGGTTGGATGTCAGGGGGAAGTTCTTTACAGAGAGAGTGGTGAGGTGCTGGAACAGCTGCCAGAGAGGCTGTGGATGCCCCGTCCATCCCTGGAGGTGTTCAAGGCCAGGCTGGATGGGGCCCTGGGCAGCCTGGGCTGCTATGAAATGTGGAGGTTGGTGGCCCTGCATCTGGCAGGGTGTTGGAGATTCGTGATTCTTGAGGTCCCTTCCAACCCAAGACATTCTGTGATTCTGTGACTTTTTCTTAAGACTTTGAGTCACTTGCATCCAGGATGTGTTAGCTAGACAGGGAAAGAGTGGGTTGTACAGCAAAAGAGCATTTGTATTACTTCAACTATGCCAATAACCACAATCTAGCAGAGCAAATTCAGATGCAGAAAATTCAGCCACTTTCAAGGACAGAATCTGCTACCCTACACATTTAGCTTAGGGGTGAATATGGGACTCTGCCCTGACATGCGTGACAATTGCTTCTGAGGAAGGCCAGCACAGACAAAACAGTGCCAAACCCAAAAGTGCTTCTTCGTGTGAGTTTGTTTGCTTAAGGCAAGTCTTGTGATTAAAATGGGTGACAGTATTTCCACCTAAATTTCTTTCATCACAAAAAGCTGCTCTGATTAATTACTCTTACTTTCATACACTCAAACCAATTGTGAAAAAAAATCTGACATGACAAATGTTCTGGAACAGTTTTGGATCGGAAATTTAGCAATGACAAAGTGTGCGCTTCTTCCATTTTTATTAACACTTAAAGTTGTTTCAGACTTGCAAGTAGTACCAAAGTAATGCTATACTATTGAATACCATATATGAACACACCTACAATTACGCATGCTTACTACATTTCCCCATTCTGTGTGCAAGTGAGCGTGTAATATAAGAAAGCAGCCAGAAAGCTTTGCTTCAAGGAACAGGAGATGGAAAATCTTTGTGTCTGATTACCAGAGGATCTCTGCATCCAGGGAAGCCATGTCTTCATGGAAGACATATGGAGGGTTACTGACTATGAAGTCCATTGGGCCCCAAGGTAGCAGATGTTTGGCAGAACCTAAAAAAGAATCACAACCAGCTCTCAATCATAGCAATGTTCCCTCTAAGCTCAATATCAAAATCCTATCCAGAAAACTATCTCTCCAGGTACATGCAGATGTGTGTACGGTTCTGTTTCTCTCTCATAGAATTTCACCCCATTTCTTTTGGGGATAGCTGGGCCTGGTTACCCTCCCACCCTGTATGCAAGATGACATGAAGATGAGCACAGGCAAAGTATCTTTTTTTTTGGGGACCAACAGCCCTGCTTAGAAGAATATCTATCTTAGAAATTCTAACACAGGACCTCGATGTCCTGGAGAGCTCAGAGCCCAACTGGATCTAAAGCAACTACTGGAACCTGACACATTACACAGACCTAACTAAGAGAGTTACAACTAGCTGTCAGGATGCACATCTTTCCTCTTACCAGAGCTGATGAAGGTATTCCAACAGGCAGAAGAGCTACATCCTCAGCAGTACCAACCAACTAAAGACCTGCTTTTCTGCCAACGAGTTCAGCTTGCTACACTTGTCAGTCCAGATTGGAGCACATGCACCAGCCCTGACCCAGACACCATGCAATTCCACAAACATGGCACGGCCCTCAGGCCCGCCTCTCAGCACAAGGCTTACCCACACAGGCTTCTGGACTGCACTGGTTGGCTTACTGATGGAACACAGCCAGAATGAGCTCAGATTTGCAGACATACCTCTAAGCAGTAATAGAGGGTCAAAATGAATGGTGTGAAAGGAAGTGCATAAATGAATCTGCAACACTGGAGCTCCTGGCTCCTCCACACCTCTTGGTCTAGCACAGCCTAGCAGACAACTACCAAACCGGATAAACCAGGACAGTAAAAAAGGAAGAAATATAAAGGGGATTAAGACAATGAAAAGATTTACCATATGAAACATTATGGTGGAGGATGTGGATCCTGTCTTGGAGTTGCAGCCTATAGAGAAAAGTTCAGATGTAAGGGCAAAAAGATTAGGAGTCTTGTCTGTGTGGGCTCATGAACAACACATTCAATAAACAGGCCATTAACTATCATTCTTCTTATCTGATACACGTATGTACTATCCCACTGACTGTCATTGGATTTTTCCCAAGCTGCAAGGAAAGTTTAGGAAGTGCTCTTTGTCTGAAGCAGAAAGCACCCATGATGATTCCAGCGCAGAGCTCCCATGCATCCAAAATACACCTATACATCACAGCAGCATTCTCCCTCAGATACATATTAATTATATCTAAAGGCCTCCCCCAGGTGAGCTCAGAAGCAGAGAAAAACAAAATTAAATGCATCAAATACGTAAATCTGACATGGTAAGCGAAGACAACTTGCTCATGTTTGCCACATTCTTTCCCCAGCCTCTTTGCTGATTTGGATCTTAGCAGCGTTCTGGCATCTGAGTGTATTTTTTAGGCACAAGAGTGCATGAAGGTGATGAGACTGCACTGCACAGTAGCAGGAAGCCAGCACACGCAGTGCAGCACAGCTCCTGTGGCAGACATAGACCAGGAAGAGAGACTCCTATAGGAATGGCTCACGCACAGACCATTCAGTGCAATCCTTTTAAAATAGGCTGGGTTTCTCAGGTGCTACTTTCTAACTCATGATCTTTCTCATCCCTGACATGCCTGTGCTCATTAACTGGGAGATATGTTTTGCTCAGCACCTTTCATCTGCAACCAGACCTCCCCAGGGTGCTCACACTGGCAGAATCCCTGAATGTACTGGAGACACAAACAACTCTCCCTTCACCTGTGACAAGACAGCACGTAGGCAGGGAGGTTTGTTATTTTTAAGAAACAGGTCTATAAACACCTCACTGTTTCTTTGGAAGAAATCTTGGCTGAGATTCTGATCTCTCTGATTTACTGACTCACTCCAAAGCAGAACAGCCTCAAGTTTGCCAGATTGCCTTTTGCATGGTTCTCCAGTGTGCCTCAGCCTGGCACAATCCATCTCTAGCTCCCAGCTTGCAACAGAATATGATCCTTGCCAGAGACAGATCCCCTTAAACCATGGGTGTCCAACATTTTGGCTTGCCTGGGCCACACCAAGTAAACAGGAATTGTCTCAGGCACCATATGTGTAGGTCACTCCAGAAGTAATGCCTCCTATTTATTTCCATGGAAACTACAACAGATAAAACAAGCACAGTAACAATACTTAATGGACCAAATTCTCAGCTACAAAAATCTATTTTTCAACATAATCACCACTGTTAGCTCTGTATTTTTGTCAGCAGTTAACACGAGCTTGCATGCCATACTAGTAAAAACCTGCACCAGTGGAGGTTTTTACCACTGATGCTGTTGTCACTGCAAAAACACATCACCCACTGTGTCAGTGAATGTCAGTGGGTGCCATTTTTCCCCACATGGAGGAATTCAATGACCCACCTTTACTTCACACACACTTTCATGCCACTATGCAATTTTGTCAGACTGCCCCACTGCTGCTGCACAGCAATAAAACGTAATGGAATATAGGTGGGAAGGTCCAGTTCTACTGCCATGCCACCAAGATCCACCTCTGATGTTGCAGGCCAACGTAATAAAACAGGAGGCATTCCTTTCAGAGCAGCTCCCATTAAAATATATAATATAGCTGACAAGCAACAAAACTTGTTTTAATTTTCAGTAGTTTTTTAATTAAAACATTTAAAAAGGAAACAACAAAACCATGAAACTAGTGGGATGTTTGACCTTGTTTGTGAAACTAACAGAACAGTCTGATTCCATGGTAGCACTTGCAATTCTTAGGTGTTTGTCTGAGATTTTTGATGAAATTTTATTTTTCCAGTGCTTCATCCATGAAAACACTTCACAAATGTACGTACTGCCGAAAAGTGATGACATTAATAAGTTGTGACTGTGAAGTGAGGGATATTTCTCTCTGCTGAGATAGGAATTATGAAAGTCCAGTAGAAAGACATGATGAGATCTGTGTTGAATATCTGATTGCAACTCTACACAGCCATTGGAAAATTCGCAGGCAATGCATTTATTTTGACTGAAAATAGTCATAAATATACAAAAAAAAACCCCCAAAAGTCAACACTTTTTTGCAACCCTGAAACCTGTTCTCAAATTCCTTGATCACAGCAGAAAGCACAGCTGCCTACTTTTCACTGTTCACAGGCCTGTATGTAGCCAATACATCAGAATGCACGTGTTTGCCATCCCTTCAGTTAGCCCTGCGCTGCATCCCGTGCCCCGCTTTCAGCCCAGACAGGGTTAGCAGCACACCCATGTTTGGTTGTTAAGTGAGGCTGTGCACCAGGCTGAGCTGCTCAGCTGATGGCTGTAGTTTGAGCTGTGCTGTCCACATGCAGCCCATGGGCTGGACATGCCTGCCTTAAAGCCTTGAAGATACCTTGACACTCCTGGAACAGTGAAGAGATGCCAGTTTGAAAACTGCCTTGGTGCTTATTCAGAGCCTGATTGCAAGAGAGACTAAAGAAGCAGAAAGAGTGAGGCAGCAAAGAAGGAACATAACCTCTAATTCCTCAGCTATGCAATCTGCCCATCAAAATACCTCTCTTCTCATGAGTTCTGCCTCTGGCTTCTGAGAAGACGTTTCAACAATGACAGAGAATGCACTTTGCCAAGCTAGAGAGACAATGTTGGGCAAGAAGAGCTGGTGGAGAACAACTCCACTCCACCCTCAGGGGATGCCATTCCCTGACTGGCAAAAGCAGATGGTTGCAGATAGAGTTTGCCCTGTTAGAGCCAATGTCTAGAGAATCCTCTGACAAAATTAGAGCTCTTTCCAATATGCTGTCTCTTCCTGGGAGAGACCCACCATGGTGTCAGATTTTTCCTTCCAACTCTTCAGTGTAACATCCTGGGGCTACCCAAGCAAGTTTCAGAGAGCATGCTGCAACAAAGCCATTATACCCAAGTCCTGTTTGCTGAGGGCCTTTGGTACTGCCTCATCAACTACAGGAGCATCAAGAAATAAAAGGATTTCTGCATCTACCCGCAGCGTACACAGCTGGGTAATCTGGTACTGGCATTGATTCACTGCAACCAAGACTTCACTAAGTGTTCCTCCCTAAATAACACAACTGTGGTAAAAAGGCAGAAACCAAGCTGGCTTCAGCAGTAATACAGCTTATCCTACTGGCTACTCTTGCAAGATGTGCAGGGCACCACACCACGGACAAGAGAAACATTTGCTTAATGAAAATATCTATTGAGAAATACGAGTTTCTCTGGCAGTGCAATTTCACTCCCCATAGCCATCCTTGAGCCAAGGATACTATGACACATTTTCCCATATGCCAGAACAACACTCTACAAAGGAGGCAAAGATCTGGCCTGTTTTTATTATGATCTCTGTAAAACTGCAAGAGAACTTGGTTTGATACTCATATATCAGAAGGATGTGCTGGCCACTCCCCATAACTGGAATAGGAGGCACAGTTTGGTAGAGAGGTGAAAGTGTGGGAAGAGTTTGTTTCTACCATCACCTCAGAATTGTGAAAGATCTGCAGCTGGATTGCAAAAAGTGGACAGATACAGCTCAGGACAGCTAGAAACAGAAGCAGCCTGCCTCTGTAACCAGTATGCCAGCAGCAGCTTTGGAAGAAAGAATACATGGGCCTCGCGGACAGTAACATCAGCTAATGAGTATCACTTTTAAGACTCATAGCTGTACCGGACTCCAAAAAAGGTAGCAACAGGAAATCCTCCTAAGGCTGCTCAAATTCATGCTCAGAGGTTCCTGAGAATACAAATGCATAGTAGAGCTCTGTACGTTTCACAGTCTCTAAGAGGACTCAAAAAGGACACAGATTCTAGTCGTGGTGCTCACCAAGATGGTGACAACCCAGAACAGCTTGCATTAAGCAGAACATAGAACCATGACAATGAGCAATGATCTGTTGGGGAGGACAAGGTTATCCTGAGATAATGCTGTTCTGCATTAGGTACAATCTGTTCAGCAGGTCTCAGCACCCAGGCACAGCACAGGTATGTGTGCACAGCAGCACCCTTCTCATCAAATCCAAGGCTACAAGGAGGGCACTGAGGGATACCGTGACAACAGAGTGAAGAGTGCAAACTTATAACCAGAGGAGTAGTGACAGGAACAAGCATGGCAGAATTTTAGGTAGGAAGCCAAAGAGAGAAAGGTTCATACTATACCTGTCCTTAACCTCTCAAGTGACAGAGACGTTCTTACCTCCTGGTGATTAAAGTTTACCATAGAAAAGAACAATAGTGACCAATAGTGACCACGAAAACTCTTGGAAGACAGCATTTAAGTACTACTGACTTATTTAGGCTGCTGCCTTTGCAAAGTGCATTCACAACTGAAAGGAAAAAAATCCTCTGGTAAATATAAACTTCCTTTTTCTTGAATTGCTACACTCTTTGGGAGCTCAAATGATTAAAAATACCCTAGTTTCCCATGGTGATAAACATGAAACACAGTTCAAAATATTAGGGACTCCTGATCATTTCACACAGAGGGTGGTGAGGCACTGGAACAGTCTGCCCAAGGAGGCTGTGGATGCCCCATCCCTGGAGGCATTCAAGGCCAGGCTGGATGTGGCTCTGGGCAGCCTGGTCTGCTGGTTGGTGACCTGCACACAGTGGGGGGGTTAAAATTGTGGTTTTTTTCAACCCACGCCATTCCATGATTCCCAAGTAACAGTTTACAAGAAATAGATAATATGCAAGCTTGTACCTATGTACATTCTCCCTGGTGAGATCCACAGCAGCCTCTTCTTTATCCACAGCTATCACTCGGCTCTGAGACAGAAAAGACAAACAACAGCATTACAACACCACAGCTCCTGAGCAGACAAGCTCTGCCAGAAGAGACACAGAAGATAAAACCTGCCAATTGACTGCTCACTCTCGGCTCCTCAAAGGAACAGCTCATCTCAGGGCACTGATGGGATGACAAATCACTTCCAGTAAGACAGTAACATGACAGAAGGCACTCTGCAACAATGCCAGCATTCTACCAAAATAGACAGGCTTCTGACCAAGTCAACTTAGCTGACAACAATGCAGTCATGCTGACTCATGGCACCTGATATGTTCATAGCTCTGAAGTAGTGTGAGACTCAACACTCGAGCAAGCCAAAGGCTGAAGTGGACACAGGTTAAAGGAAGATCACATCCCTAGACTTCTCCTTTTTAGTGTGCATGGAATCCCTCCAACAGTAACACACCATCTTGGGCAGAGATTCTAGCATTTTCCATCTGTTAGGCAGACACCCTTTGCCTAGTAATTCCACTGCAGTCATTATACCATGTTCACTAGATGTAGACAGCCTGCACTTCACTGTGTCAACTATCTGAAAGTTCTCTGGTGTAACAGTATGCGACAGGACTATATGGTTAGAGATATGCCTGACTTTCTACCCCATTTTGGGAAAAGCATGAGCACAGGCCTGACGTGTTTTTCTGCTTTGCTGGACATTTTTTAAACACATGCTGCTAAGCATTTGCATACAGAAAGCGTGCTCGAAGTATACACTTTCTACCTGGTGATAATGGTGGTATGCAGTGTAATGGACCATTAGGGTGATGCATTTCACTGTGTGAAACTACCACCCTCACACACACAAAGCTGACCCCAAACACAGAGGACAGAGTTGAAACAATAAATGAAATGCTGCTGGTGTTTTCTCTTGTTCCCTACTGCCAACTTGTGTCTCAAACATTAAGACATCACAAAGAACATAAACTCTGGTTAGCTGTCTGTGTAGCTACCATTCACTCTATTCAGCCAAGGCTCTTTATTTCTCTGGAAGTTTGTGTTAGCCAGCTGGGAAAGGACTATTATCAGTAACAGTGACAGACTGGCAGAACTGTTTAATCTGACAGGAAAGTAAAAAGTGTGAAGTACAGCTCAGAAAATCAGAGTAATTTCACTTTGAAGTCATGAAGCCCAACTATTAACTCCTGAGTCAACAGAAGGCACCTACCTCTGTAACTAATGCCCCAAGCCTCACTCTCTCTCAGAGAGAGGAGTGGCTACAGCAATTCTTGCTCATGAGAAGCTGACGTATGAGTAAGTCTGTATGTGATGAAATCTTGGCTTCATTTCTTTTTTCCTTTTTACTTACCAATAGTATCTCATTAAGCCTGTTTCATGCACACAGTAACCAGAGGCAAGAACAGCTTTGGCTACCCAGATCTCTATCCACTTCCTGCTTTTTTTGCTCTATCCAAAAACGGGGGCTGCTATCATGGAACATAAGACTTCAGAAAAATGGCTTGGCAGTTGAGGCAGTGTGACATCTGCTAATCATATTGATCCCAACTATTGATGCTTCTGTCAGAATCCTTCTTTTGTACTCATTTGGCTTTCAGTTTCACAAACGCAAGATCTATTGATTCACAGCAAGGTGATTTTAGAGATGACTGCTCCAAAAATTTGACTACTAGAGTGTGTACCGAAGCCTCGGTCACTCGTCCACAGCCCAGGATATGAGCTTAAACCAACCCTCACAACAGCTTCAATCTAAGGTGATTAACAGCAAGTTGTGACAGCTGAAGAATGAGCACATTTGCTTGTTTCCTTCTGTCTTTATTTCTCCTGCAGACAGCTGGAGAAAGCAATTTCTAAAAACTCTCTCTACCTAGAATAAACATACAGAGTCTGACTGTCAAAGACAGCAGCTGCTGAAGTAGCAGCTAAGTTCTGTCAAAGAAATTTGCTTGGAAAGTCTCAGGGAAGTCCAGTAGACTGGAACTACGCTTTCACAATGGTATTTGCTGTACCATGAGCATATTAAAAAGTTCACCTGTGGTATCTTGCACAGGAGACTCAGAGCAATTGCTCCAGAGCCACAGCCAATCTCCAGGATCACAGGAGATGGGACAGCAACCAAGAAGGTTTCTGAATTCTTCGCCTCACATTTCCGAGATTCTTCCTCCACAACCAGAGAGATGAGATCCTAAGAAAACAAAGATAAACATTGCTGTGACTTTTTGATAAGGGAACTGTTTTGACTTTGTGGAGTGAAGGAATTAAAATGTCTTCAGTCCATAGTCTAAAATGTATTTGTTTTGCTGATTTTTAAAACACAAATGACATAGCAGAGCTGACAGGAAGTCATTTAAACTTCATCTCCTCCACACGGTACTTTGACAAGTATCCTGAGGATTTTGTTATGACTTCCCAGAGATCCTCTGAGGTCTTCTAGCACTGGGAAAAACAGTAACCGAACAGCTGGAGCACATTATCTTCTGTAACACCATTTTATTTACACCAAAATTCCAGCCATTAGTACTTGTAGGCTTCAAAATTTAATACTTCTAAACTTCTAAGTAATCTAGAGACAGCTATACAGTTCTGAACAACATCTTAATCCAACCTGCAGATGAAAAGCAAAGGCAGAGAATTAAGTGACCCATACAGTGAGTTCCCTGAATGGATTTCAGACTGTGGACTCCTACTACATTTTGTTGTTGCACAGAAAAGACTTTCATCCCTGCTTCTTGAGCCCTATGCACCTCTGCTGCCAACATCTCTTCCCTGCCATTCATCTAGTTTTTAAATCTCCTGGCAACATCATGTGAAATCCAGCACAGCAAGAGAGGTCTTAAAGACACAGAGTTCCCAGCTTTGAGACACTAGTTACTACGGACAGTACACGTGCCTCCCTCACAGCATGAACTGCTCTGGTTATTCATCAGAGAAAACTACAAGAGAAATGTAAACATCTTGGGTGTGTGAGTACTTGCCGAAACTGCTCGTAACTCCCTGAGATCCTTGTTCCTTCATGGTACAACCATACAGAAAGAAAACAAGCTCTTACTGCCCAAGCTGCTCCCACAGTGGCTAGGCTATTCACTTAAGAGATTTGCTCTTGAATCTCTCCTATAAATCCAGAAAGCCTAGCAGGTCACAAAGAATTGGCTTGATTTTACCAATGAAAGACATCATGAAGAAAATCCTTAAGCAGAAATATCTAAAAGCAACATATCCTGACAAGTGAGTCAGCTTTAGCACGGCAGTGGCTTTTTCCAGGAGCTAAAGTCAGGTCTGCTTGTACCTAAGGATATAAGCCCTCCTTTGGATATATCACCCGACGTGGGGTACAGTGAAACAGATGGTTTGTACACAGGTGTGGAGTCTTCATCAAGATAGCTGCTGCTGTCAGTTGATCACCCTTCATGTCGGGCTGGTTTGCATCTGTGGGATGTAGTAAGAAAGGCTGCAAACAGGTGTAAAAATATAAAGCTGGTGTAGATGAGCTTCTGTGGAAACATCCCCAGCAACAATCCCTGAGACGTGGGCTGCTTTGTCAGACGGCATTTTTTTGAGACACTCACAAAACATGAATTACTCTTCAGTATAATAAAGCACTGTGCCCCTTCACAGAACTGCAACTTCCACTGCTTCACAGATCTAGATAAGAGACACGTGTGTTTAAACATTGTCCTGCCCTAGGAAAGCCAAGCAGCTTTGAAATGATTCTGCTTTTTTAATAGAACACTGTGCCTGAAAGCATAAGCAGAAAAAAAAGATGTGGTTTATTTGAATATGTAGACACTCTGCATTTCTCCCAGTAACATTACTTCTTGTTAGATCAGCTTCTGAGCTGTTGCCATTTCCAGCCCATCTGTTTTGGGCTTTGCTTTTTTTGCAAGAGTATGGCCCTGCCAACATTATCCTTAGGGGAGTCACTGCATCCTTGACCTTCTCTGGGCTACCTTTCACAGCCACAGACTTTTGAAGCCTTTAGGGGGCTTTTTATCAACAACCTCCTTCAGCTGTATTCACCATTTTCTTTCAAATTCCTGCAGTCACCGAGCTGGAACAAGTCAGGGATGCCCATTCTTTACTCACCCGGATAACAACAGCCTTTGTTCTTCTCCAGCCTGTGCCCTCTGCCTTCCAGAGCTCACAGCAATGAGTGCAATTGTGCTCCTACTTGACACCAAGAGGGAAGGGGTAGCAGAGGGAGCTACACTGTGATCTCTCAGGACTGCATCTTCTCTGCAAGGTTCAGCTTGGGGCCCAGCCCTGCTGGCGGCCTGGGCAGATAAGAGGTGCCATACAGCAGTGCCCTGCCCTCATCACCGTGCCTCAGAATCACATCTTCCTCGTTGCTGCACCGGGATTCCTTTCCAGAAAACTGTGGAGGAAAATATTCCCATATCCTGCAGGAAACTGTTAAGAGGACCACCAGCATACAGATAACATGGAAAAAAGAAACACCATATCTACCCACTTGCGTGTGAAAGTGGCTTTTGCATTTCAGCTAGATGCATCAGTTTGAAAATACTTCTGAAAATGAGGACAGGCAAAAATTGCAACCACAGCAGGTGCTGATGATCCCAAGACCACAGAAAAGCCATTCTGCTCGGACACTGAATTGCTCTCAAACGCTGCTCATTTCTGGTCATCTGAAGTATTTCCAGGAAAATCTCTGCACTAGCTTAGAAGAACCATCCATCTCCAGGGTTGGTCACAGAGAGGCACAAGTTACTGATTACAGAATGTCCACAAGTAACTTCCTTAAAGTAGAACTACTGTCAGCATTCATTAACATCTTTAAGGTTTATTATTAGCAACTTCAAGCTTGGAGTTATTATGGAATTTCTGCCTCACATGCTCCACAGTAAAAATAATTTGAGAGCGCTTGCCAAAGTGAGCTCTGTTTAAATACAACTGACTTCAGTTTTTAGCACATGTGTATTAAAAAAGGGATATTGATACAATTTCAGCATCGTATCCTCCCTGACTCCCTTGCCTTACTGTCTGGTTATTTCATATACTTTTCCAAAGCAACTTCCCTCATAAGAACTATTCATTGCAATAGTTTAAAATTGAAAGACTGCATTAAAAGTAATGTGACAAGCTAAGAAACTACTTTTTTTTTCAGCCATTAGTATCTCACTGCAGTCAAAGAGTTCAACAATTATGAAACTAAGTTATTTTATGAAACAAATTCAGCTGAGAACAAATAGAAGGCGTTTGCTAGCCAGCGTATCAGGAGAAAGGAAATTACTAGTATGGTTTATTCAACATTGTACTGAATTTGTAACTGTACATGTATTAAAAAGAACAGAAAACAATGTAGAGGAATAAGACATTTTAGAAATCTGCACTAACTGGCTGTGATGCTAACTGTCCTTTCCTTGACTTACAGCTTCCACAAGAAAAACAAACTCCCCCAGCATCTGTAAAAGAACTGGGCAACCCAGCAACCACAAAGCAGAGGGGCCCAGTGAGCACGCTGCCATGGCCACCAGCTCTCCTTCACAGAAATCACGAGTGACTGAGCTGTCCAGAGCTGTTTTAAAAGTGTTCTTCACGTGGTTTTGGTATATTTCCATCTTCTATGAAGCAATTTAGTAAAAATCTGTGTTTCCTCAGCCCTCTCAAGATGTGACTTGAAATTGATGAGCTACTTTGTAAAACGTTGAGAGATAACACATGTCTGGGCACACATTCCTGCACTCATATGTAGGGTACAAAACACCATACCAGACACCCCCTACTTCTGCAGAAGAATCTGACTAGGGCCACACAAAGGGAAAAGCAACCAGCAGGCAGAAGATGCTAAAAAGAAAAACTGGAACAACAGCAGATGGCCAAAGGCTCCGGTCTGTGCTGCGTGGGATACACTACATCATCTCCAACTGAACAGTTTCAGACAGCAAACATCTGCTAACAATGCCAACGTTGCTTAAAGCCATCTTAGCCTTCAGCTTAGTCACCAGTTCCAAAGATTGAGATGAAATCAGAAATTCCAATGGGAAAAAAAAAAAAAGAGAAATCATTTTGACAGTCCAGTACATTAACCTTTGGAATACATTAGGTAAGCTCTCCACAACCTGCCACCCTACACTTGAAATGGCAGGAAAAATAGGCCTACTTGCACTCACACCACTTTCAAGATTGAATACATCAGAGAAATATCCCTCACTACAGAAAAACGCTCATTTTGATTAAAATACCAAAACAAACAGACTTCACTGATTTTATAGGATCTAAAACCTTGTAGCACCAGGTGCCTCGTCCCTGAAAAATATTGAAAAAAAAACCCAAAACATCAAAAAACAAACCAAGAAAGTGCTGTGTTAAGGAACAAATAGAATTGTACATTAAGAAAGTGTTTGAGAAAGGTGACCTGATTTCATATCTACCCACAGCACACTAACCACTGTGGAATGATTAAAATCCGAATTGCTGCTTACAGTATGTGTCACTGTCAGTAGCAACACACACTGAAAGTCTTGCTAAGCAGTGCTACAGGTACTGGCAGAAACAGGTCCTAGAGCGTGGTACACACGTGAGGGTAAGACAGTGAGCCACTGCTGTCCCTTGGAGCAAAGCTTAGGTATGATTAGAACTGCCCCACAGCTGTCCTGTCCCTCAGAGCTTGCAGGATTGCCATGCACCTTTCCAGGGTACACCTTCAAGTGTCATCATCCTCTGCGGCCTTTGTCATCTGCTACAGGTAGGCCAGCTTACAGCTCTGCACTTACTGGTGTGAATAAATCCCAGACTCTCTGCATGTTGCAAATTTCTTCATACAGAAATTCTCCATTCTTCATGGAGAAAAAACAAACAGAAATAAAATCAAGAAAAAATATCATGAGGCAATGAACTTCCCCCACAACTTCTATCTATGATTTTGCGCAAATAAGTATTCAGGAGGGCACCCAGAGCACCAGCTACCTCCAGAAATTATGCACTCATGAGCATGGTAAACTGGGCACAAGGCAAAATATCTGGAAGGGTTTTTACAGTGCACTGGAAGGTGATGCAAGCATCCAGGGATTTGTTTCCAGGTGTACAAATGCTCTTGTTTAGCATGGAGTGGGGACAAGTTGGCAGGATCTAAGCATTACGTACCTTTGTCAGAAGAGTATTTAAAAAATCTGTAGGGGAAAGGGCAGGGCATCCTCAAGAGTGAGGGGAGTTCTGGTACTGAAGAGC